GGCCTATAAAAATGTCCAAACCCGTCTGGGGGTCGGGCCGGGCCGGGCCGGCCCGTCGGGCCACCCGGCCCATGAACAGGTCTAATAATAGATAATAGAAAGAGGAAATAGTGGAAGATAGGGGTCCTCTCAAAGCAAAGCTCAAATGTACCTCCTCTACCCTTTCTTTTCCTACACATGTGCATATTTGTTTTTAAATTAAATCATTAAAAATATAACATGCCAAAATTAAAACTCTCATATATTTTCATGGTCTCTCATAAAATCTATATTTACTCTCTAATAATATCATTCTTAAACCTCTCTCTCTCTCTCCTCCCTATCCATTAAATCCCTATTTTTCTCTTAAGTCTCTCTCTTAACCCTTTTGGCTCTTTATAATAAACTAGAGGAATAAATTAGGTGGATTTGGTTAGGTTAAGAGCCAACCTAAATCTGAACCCTAGTTTGGATCCAAACTAAYGTGTCAAAACCCAAGTTTGTCCACCCAGTACATGGGATGATCCAAACTAAAGGATTTATTGCTCCTTTCCATGAGTTATCAAAATTTTATCTCTTTTTATATTAATTTAATGTAGATTTTTTCATGGATTGCTTTGATTCAGTAATAAAATGTAATAAAAAAACATGTAATGTGAACCTTTGTTATCTTCATCGGTTTAATTTTGAAATTATTTTTCTCTTTAACTTGGTTATTGATCTCATGCGAAGCACATTTTTTGGCTTTATAAGACTACACAACAGGGGTAGTGAATCCCCCAAACCCTTAACTCCCAACTCTAGTGGTAGTAGGATTTGATTCCAGGTCTCAACTACAACTAGATAGAGATCTTGTCAATTGAGCCACCATCAAGAGGTTCTCATGCTAAGCAGTTGATTTATATACCTCTCCTAATATATAAGCTATATAATAAGCTAATATATATATATATATATATATATATATATATATATATGAAGGAAAAGGTAGGGAAAGGAAGGGAAAGGAAGGGAAAGGAAGGAAACCTATACAAGGTTTATAAAAGTTTCTCTGCCTTTCACTCCTTTCCCTACTATTTCCTTCAAACCAAATGCAGCCTAAAAGATACATTTTTAAACAGTGGCCGGTGCATCACATAAGTATCTTTTAATAACCATAGAGAGAGCAATTGCCTCCATAGAAATCTAGAGAGAGAAATTTCCTATTATTTATTCTCTTTTCAATCATTTATATTTAGATTAGTTGTGTCTGTAAAATTGAATTCATCTCTACACGCCCCTTAATGGGTAATGGCCTTTGTAAGAATAAAGGCCCAGACATGTTTTGGGTTTTCTACAAGAATCCCGATGTGGATTTCTAGCCTGGCCCAACTTGACCTGTCTCTCAATAAATTAAAATTTTGTATAATTATAATATATATATATATATATATATATATATTAAATATAACGTATGTAGTGTCATACGCCCAAAGAGAAACCACCTTGTCACCGGGTTGGGGTTACATAGGGGTTCTCCCAGGGCGGGCCCAATCCAAGCCACCTATTAAGCCTGGACTAACCCAGTTCACAATTTTGTAACCCCTTATTTCTTTTTATGAGAAAAATAGAGAGAGAGAGAGACCATGAATTTAATTCATGTACCAGGTCAGATTGTAGGATATAATTTTTGTTCATCACTGCTTCTATTTTAGATGTTCCCATCAAATCCTTCTGATCGTTTTTTTTCATGGTGGGCCCTTGAGACAGAAGGAAGAAGGCTAAGGGCATTTGAAAACAGATTGTAGGATCAAGGAAGGTCGGTATGGTAATTTACATAGGACAACACTACATGAAAGTTTACTATTGAAGTCATACCCAATGGGCCAATATCATTTTTATCAGGGTCCCTTATAACACCATACGTGTTAAGTGCCTACTTGAAAGTAAATATTGGGCCAAACAGGATCTAATTATAGTTGATTGTTTGCTCAACATAAACCTAACCTTTTATCTGCAGATCTAAAATAAGCTTGTAATTAAACAAATCTCTCTCTCTCCCCATTGACTTTTACCAGCTAGCTAATTGGCATCTCCAATTGACTTTAGAGAAATTACGGGCACCCTTAGAGCAGACCAAAGGGCAGGCTGGGCTACCCTCCTTCCCTTGTGTAGCCCCATGAAGCATAAAAATGATAAATAAATAAAAGCACAAGTAGTAGACAGTAGTATTTGTTTCCTAGCCGGCCCTAGGTGTCCAGACCGGCCTGAACTCAGAATCAGGTTTGGCCTCTTCAGCCTTCAGATCCAAATTTCCTTCTGCTTTATACATATCCTCCATTCATCAGATTGGTTAATTAGCTCAGCTCAACCGATTGCCGGCCAGCCTCACCCTGTGCCAAAATAAGAGCATTTCCATTTTAGTTCCAGCACCAGTAGGCTTACTGCCCCAGTTACTCGTGCCCAGTTAGTCAAATCTATACCATCATATATTGTTCCAACTTCCAACTTGTAGTGTGAACGAATTCTATATTATATTCAAGTCTGCAGTCAATGAGAAGTGAAGCATACTATATAACTGGTTTCATGTGCATTAATTGCATCTTAACCACACTAAGAAACTCTTTCTCATTAAATAAATATTGTTAAGCAATTGGTTTCATAATAATTAAGCATGCAGTCAATAGAAATCCCTTCACTGGACGACTTTCCCCTAGTTTAGCCATGTGGGGTGGGGGACTTGTTTCCAGTGCCAGATTTCTCCATTTGTTTTCTCAAAAATCAAAATCCTCACTTGCCATTGAAGTTTCTAATCGTTTAGTTCGAAAAATGCCCACAGAAAATTAAAGAGCATTCTTACTTTTGCTTCATGAACTCAATCTGAAACTTGATTCACAATTGAATTGAAATTTCTGAAGGTATCTAGTCCACCAAAACTTGTGTATATATTATGGATAGGTAGCAATAGCACGTGCCTTCCCAGCCTCTTCAAGATGACGAAGGCCATCTCGTTATCTATTGATATTAAGATTTCAAACTGTCGAATTCTCCTCTAGATCTCTCACCTTTGAATTCTGTTTATAGCTTGCCAATCACCACTAACACCTACATTTGTTTGTTTCTACTCTCTAGCTACTAGTTTGTGATCTGTCTATATAGCTGATGCACATCCCCCTCCCTTCTCATTCAACTCTAACCCAGAAAACATATTCCCCCCATTTTCATCAGCCTGAGACCTGACACACAAAGCTCAGAAGCCACCTTTTCTGATATCACCGACCGGTGACATTGCCAGAAAATCCAATAACCTAGAATGGCTTTGAAACGGGTGGAGATGGGTTTGGTCATGGTCTTCATTGTGACCATGCTTTGGGTTGAATTAGCTGTTGCTCAATTGGCTTGCACGTCTGCGCTTATTAGCATGGCACCATGCACCAATTTCATTACGGGAAATTTCTCGACCCCAACTGTATCATGTTGCACCAACTTTGAAAATGTTGTTAAGACACAGCCAGAATGCCTGTGCACGGTGATCAATGGCACTACCACACCGTTGGGTTTCAACATTAACCAGACTAGGGCTATGGAACTACCTACGGCTTGCAATGTTCAGACTCCACCAGTTAGCCAGTGCAAGGGTACGTAAGTCTATCTAAGTGAAACAGCTATATCGATCGATATCTTTATGTCTTCAAAGCTTTTAAATAAAGACGACGTACGTTAGCCAGCTGGTATACATATACTAACATCAACTTCTCAACCTGCTATTGCCAACAGCTGCTAACGGACCTGCAACTTCTCCGGCGGGCTCACCGGCAAGTTCTCCATCAGATTTATCCAACAAAACTGCTGAAACTACAACTCCAACACCGTCAATATCAGTCTTCCCATTAGGTATATATAGGATATTAGCCAAATTAATTATACCAAGTAATAGATCAGATCGTCATTTACAGTTTTGAACCAGAAAGTGTACAGATCTGATACATTTTCAAACTATATATATGCAGGAGCTAATTCCTCGGCGACGGGGTTCTCTGACGGAAACAGTAATACCAAATCGCCCCTTCAGCTTGTTATCTTCCTCCTATTCATTGCATCATGTGCTTCGAATTTCCCTAGCTTCTGAATCTGCTCCAGGTTGTTGCATTTGCTTCAGTGAGTGTTTGGATGCTTAAGTTAATTTTTACCCAGAAAATAACAAAAGTTTGTGATTGTATTGTCGATATTTTATACTCTAATCTGTTTGTATTATGTACTAGAAATAGAGAAATTCTTTTTCCTTGTAATGTTTTTTCTTCTATCTTCCAAGCCATATTTTTCTGGTTTAATCTTGATTAATTACTAGGTTGTATTATGACACTCATGATCTAACTCCTCAAAAGCACGGAATTGAAGGATTCTTTTAGGCCACTAGTACGTTTTCGGAATTCCACTCTGCTAAGGAATTGGACCCAAAAGAAGAAATTAATCGGGGCAAGATATTGGAATTGGCTCGGAAATCATTTAATTAACAGAGTGGGATTTCTATTTCTGCTATTGTCCAAACACAGCCTAAGAATTGTTTCGTGAGGAATTATTGTAATTGCTTCMTATGTTGGGTCGTCGACAAATGGAAACAGAGGTGGCAGATCGAAACAGGTCCATCGTCCAATGTGTGTTAGCTTGGTTAGGGTCTCCATGTGTGTTCCCACTTCCCAGTACACGGCAGTAGTGAGCTGTGGGTACGTAGGGATGTGGAAAAAGTTTGTGGGTAGGAGATCCGGTCTTCTCGTTTTAGTAAATACTGCAGGGGTGTCCAACAAGTAAAGAGCACCTCTTGAAATCTTGAGATTGACGGAGAAAAAACCCTTCRTGTGGTTCTGTTTTGAAATTCAGAACTCGGAGAGTACTCTCGTTCAGAATGCAATCCAATTAATCGAGTTCGTTCCGCCCGAGATTTTCCGATTTGACAGTTAACTCGTGAACTCGGTTGGGCTTAGAAGCTTCGGGTAGTTGATCAACTATATATGTTTCATACGATCACAACCAGACACCACGCCACACCACGTCAGTACGTCACCTCAAGTCTCATCTCAAGACAATACTCAATAGCCATCAACTGCTTAGGGATTCATGTATTTGGATATTTTTGAGGGAGGGCATCAGACATCAGCAGTCCACAGCTAATAATACTTTAAGATTAGATATCTCTACAAATAATATTTTCGATTCGAGTGAGATTATTTAATTCTGTTTCGTCTTTTGATATTAATTGGTCTCATCTTTGAAACCCGTTTAACCTACCAATATATAATATATAGGAGAAGTTGGCCACCAAAAAATTACCTGTATGATTCCTGCGTTTACTTTTTGTTTCACTATTAGTGGAGATCCGTCGGATGCACTGGTTTTGTTAATTAAGAATGAAACAATCAATTTATCAACAGATTAATATGATAATATAATATTACATTATTGTTATTAATATTGATAATAATAATATTATTATTATTATTATTATTTAAATAATTAATATAAATTATTTTATTTATACAATTATTAATTATTAATATAATAAAACTTATTAATAAAAAATTTAATTAATAAAAACTATTTAACCATACTAAAAGTAATTTAATAAGTTACTTATTATTATTATTAAGCAACCCGTGTACTACATGGATTGCTCTACCCGTCCTACACGGGCTGTTGATCCCGTGCCCACGAATTGCATTGCCCGTGTAATACACGGATTGCTTTACCTGTGTAATACACGGGGTTCTCAACCCGCACCGTATCCGAATAGGATTTTCGAAAGTGTGTCGAAGATGACCCAATTAGATCGTCTTCTTCACCGCATGATAAAACGGGTCCTGCGATAGCCCGGTTCTGTTTTTTACCATGTTTTTCCTTTTTTGTCGTTTTTCCCAGATTTTTGACATCTAGTGAGTTGGTTTGAGTTTCATCTGCAATAGGAAATCACAAAGCCAACTTGAACGAAGTTTAATCATATCTATTTATACTTGTTAAAAATCCAAAGGCAGAAGGTGCAGTTGAACTAACTTGAACGATGTGTTTCTTCTCTATTACCCAAGGCACAGTTGAAAATCCAAGGAAGAAGGCAAACCTGGAAACGAAAAAACAACACAAAAAACCTTGAACTTATCTCAGAAATTGGAAAAAATAAACCGGTTCTGAAAAAAAAATAATACTAACCTGAAACTTATCTCCAACTTTTTCAAAGCTTATTTCCAACATTTTCAGATTATTGAAGACGCAGCAAACTCATTCTCATACTACCAAGAAGCTGGAAAGACATTCAAAATACACATTTTTTGATAGCGGGAGACGCATCCTAATGGCAAACATCTCCTGCAAAAACTTTTATTGCAAACTATTTGATTGGTTTAGATATTATTACATGGATTTAAAAAAAATAGAAAATTATAATGGAGAAGTACGGATAAATCGAATGCAGATTTTTGAGTTCTACTGCACAACAATAAACATTCAATTGGCATCAATTCCATGCCCTCATCGATTCCAACTATACTTTGGGCCTAAAATTTTTTACGCTGGGCTGAACCCGTCGCCCCACATACTTGCCCCCAAAACGTCTCATAAAACCGGAACGTGATGCGTGTCATGATACAGGCGCATTAAGTGAAACGCATCTAGAACCCATTTCACACTGTGAAATGCATCTCCGTTAATTCCTCTCTTGTCCAAAAGCGTTTCTTCTCCCATATTCCTTCATTTTACTTCGAACTGAAACTCTTGGCGCCGGCCCGCTTTCGTAAGTGGGCAGTTCATAGAGTTCTAGTATGACTATACTTGAATGAAGTAACAGACGAATCGAAGGGCAAAAACGCTGTAACTTAAATATTCTTATATACCAATATGCCCTTATATTCTGGTTGTACTTTAATAATAAGAAGCTATCTCAGTGAAACAAAAGACAAGTGAAGGGTTTTATGGTAAAAAAATATTAGTGAAAAGAGAAATAAATTGTGTATTCGTACTTCTATAGTAAGAAATAATTGATAGATAGATAAATAGATATACAATATAATACTATAAATATGAAAAGGTCATGCGTAATGTTGGTCCCAGCAAGGGCGAGATGGATATGCATGTGGGCCTATAAAGCTTAAGGCCCGTGGACTGGACCTTGGCACTATAGCGTAATGAAACATTGGATGCTGGATTGATAAAGCCCAACCCAAGTTGCAATTCTGTCATCATTATAGAGCAAGGTTTTAAAAATCAACCTGGAACTGAAATCCTTTTGGCCATCAGTTTATAGGTCGACAGTTTGATCGTTCAGTTTAAAAGACAGTCTATTCCAACAATGGTCAAAACGGGTCAAACAAGTTGATAATCCAACTGCCCCAGGTTAATGAATTATTGGTCAATTCAACAGTTTTTTTTGACCAAAAATGGGGTTTGGGATAACATTGTTATGGAATAACGTGTTGATCTTTCAATGTGATAATAAAAAATTCACTATACCGTGAGAAAGAGTATCCCTGAACCCTTGCTAGTGTGAACGCTCATCCTATTCCTGTTCCTGGTAAATGTTATTATCATTTTATGATTCATGATGATTTGCCAGGTTTTCTCCAGCTGAAGGAAGCTAATAGGTAAGCACGATTTAATAGCCAAATGACACCATTTAATATATTTATCAATCATAGTATAGTATAGTTTATAAATTATAAACAGTTAGCAGTTGAACCAAATAAAGAAACCGTTTGTAGGAAAAGTTGGCCAACAACATATTAATTAATTTGCATTTGTCTCTAGTCTAGCTACTTGACATGCATGCATGTCATACCACAGCGCCTCTTTGTCCTACCATCAATCCCAAGTTCATCTCCTTCCTCAATCTGTAAGCTTCTCCTCTCCTTTGCGTTTTGGGCAACTACATATAACACAATATGGCACCAAGAGGGATGGAGTTGGCCCTGGTGGCAGCAGTCACTGTGACCATGCTCTGGGGAGGAGCTGTGGCACAGTCATCAGGCTGCACAAGCGTGCTCGTTGGCATGTCGCCTTGCCTGAACTACATTACTGGAAACTCTATCATCAACCCCATCTTCCTCATGCTGTTCGCAGCTTGCTAGTGTTGTAAAATCGAATCCACGGTGCCTGTGCGACGTCCTTAATGGTGGCGTCTCATCACTGGGAATCCAAATTAACCAAACTCAGGCCTTGACTCTCCCCAATGCTTGCAATGTCTAAACTCCGCCAGTTAGTGCATGCAACAGTAAGTAACTCCTTTTGGGTTGTTGAGTTCATGGCTCAACCTACACCTCTACTAGTCCACCAGAAATTTAGCGTTCTTTCTTCCACATAGATAAACATAAATTAATAGAACTCTAGATCAAATTTCTGATGAACTTCTCCATCTATTCTGCAACTTTCAGCTGTTTCCCCAACAGCATCACCAGCAGGGACCCCAGATACCAAGGCCACACCAGCAGTTGCAGCTGCAAATCCAGAATCCAAACCTACACCATCAGTGCCAACCATTCCTTCTGGTATATATATGATTAATCTCAAAATTACTAATTAATAATCCCCCTTTTCTCACTTTACTATAATTTCATATAATTGTTCAACATGGTGCAGGAGGCGGATCCAAGACTGTTCCATCAACAGGAGGCGGGAATACATCAGATGGAAGCTCCACCAAATTGACCTTTCCTCTCCTCTTCTCTGCATTGGTCATAAAATTCCCTTTGCATGGCAAAGTAAGTGAGTGTGTGTAGAGAAAGCTCCCCATTTTATATTATCTCCATAAAACATTGGTTATTGACATATTGTGTTTTAATATAAATCTGCGAAGGTAACAACATTAATTTTTTCAAAGTCTGATAAGGTCAACTTCATTTAGCAATGCTTAGATACACACCAAAAGAGTACATTGAACGAGAAAGACAGAGAAATAACTCTAATATTCCAGTTATAAAAGAAAAAAAAAAAAAAAAACAGACCAATCTGCTCTGCTGAAGCGAGAAACATGTAAATCAGAGCAGTGTGAGAGGACAATATTATGAGACCCCTGCAATTCTGCAAATGTAGATGAATTTCTGAATAATTAAATTTGGGCAATATTTCAGTGGCTCTGGATAATTAGTTTTCCTTTTTGGAGAGGAAAATAGTTACTGGGCTGGATATACTCGATCGCTAGAAGATTAATTCTGAAAATTAAATCTCAAATCCAATCTATAATGTGAACAGCTACTTACCAACTCTAGAAGGAGACGGGATTTGGTAGCCCAACTCGTAAAATGAATACTGTGTTCAAGTCATTGCATGGATGGGCCAGGAGTTTGTAGTTAGAGCTAATCAGCTAATGAAGATCCATTTAAAAATGGAGCAGGTAGAAACTTCAAAAGCTTCAATTTGGAATGCCAGACCAGACAGAGAGACTTATCATCCGTCGGCCCCCAAATTATTTGAAGTGAGAGAAAATTACCAATCTTTTCGATAATTTGGAACGCCATATTCCAATGAAAATATTTAAGTCTTCTTTCTTCTATGCAGGTTTTTTATCTCTTTAATTTGATAGTGTAGTTACACTAACAATTTATGAGGATTATACTTAACATATAGAAATTTAGAAATTTTTTTTAGATGGCATCCTTCAAAATTTTGTATAAAAAAAAAATATGAATCATGAAAGTTTAGAAATTTTAGTTATTAAAAGATAATATGAAGGTAATGACCGTATAAGAACAAATAATTGAGAAAACAACTCAGAAGGCCAGGACTAGAACATGATTGAATGCCCAAAGGGGACCTACGTATTCCTTTCTCCACCTTCCATTAATATGGATTAAGTTTCAGCCAGAAGTTGCTAAAGAAAAGCTTTTTCTATGTAGGCAGTTGAGCCAATTGGGCTACATTTTTTCTTTCATTGTTTGTGAAAGACCATCTTCAATAATTGTTTTATTTTCAATAAGCAAATATACAACATTAAGCCAAAGAAGAGGAGTCTATATAGAATTAAGGGTGTAAAGAAAACCTAATTTCATCTTCAAGATTCAACATAATCAAATCAAATATAGTAATCCCATCAAAGTCAGATATGAAACCCATACCATTTTGTTTATCAAATCAAATTCAAATATGACCTGTTTCAATTTGATAAATATCCGAACTGGTTACACTCATACACATACAAGATGTCCTAAATATGCTTTATTTATCTCTAATAAAACTATATTACAGGCTATTTCTTTATCTAATGGTAAAAAATCAGTTAGATGTGATTGAGATTTGTTGAATTAATGGTCAAATTTAAATATCCAAATATCCAGTCAATTTTGAATTTGGTTGGCCCTTATAAGAATCTGTTCGATATAAATTCAAATTCAAATTCAGATATGACCTAATTCGCATTGAATTTACTCCAATTAAGCCCCTATACAGAACTCCTGCATTAGGGGGAGAAATCCAATCAGCAAACTCAAACAAAAGATACTAGAGAAAACAAACTAACAGAGCCCAAATTAAAATAAGAAAACTTTATAGATACCCTTGTGTTTTAGAATAATACAAATCCTATTCATGATATTTATGTATCCGGTTCAATTTATGCCTTTATACTTGATATCATGGCAGACCTGGAATCATCTAGCAGCACTAACAGATTTAATTCTTTTATGCAGTTGGACACCACTTTTACCCCCAAAGCTTAAATCATTAACTTGTGGACCGATCCTTTTTATATATAAATCCTTTGTATTCTTATCTTTTTCCAATGTAGGATTTTACACTTGCATCCCAACATGTTATTCATTTGGAAATGGTGATCTTGATCTTAAAAAGACTAAATATCATATAGCTTTTAATTTGGCCATGGTTTCTTGGAATTAACTTTTTTAATATATTGTAGCAAACTCAAAAAGGAAAAAGGGAAGGATGCATATTTGGCACCATCATCCAACAGTTTTTACTGGTAAAAAAGGTGATTAGTCTGAACTATTTATCTCTTTGAAAGAGTGACTGTTCTTACTTCTTAGGCGAGGCTGGTTGACTGTCCAAGCTGACTTTCAACCATACAGTCCAACCTGGGCTKAAGCACCTTCTGTTAGGTCATGGAAGATTCCTTCTTCATGAATCAGCATTGTCATCGATTCCCAGATTTGGTTCCATTCAACAAAAGAGAGAAGAAGAAACAGAGATTCCCTCATTTATTTCCAAATATCAAAATGCCCGCCGTGACAACTGCATGTGAGATCGGGGACCCATTACAACTAATTTAACTACTACAGCATCAATCTATCAGTTGCTGCTTAAGAAAGATGTAGCAGCAGCTACAAGTTTTGGTTGGTAAAATTAAAATACGAATGGATCCAAACGTCCCAGAGTTTCCTTTCTTAATTTCCTTTAAATAGAAAGTCCAATTATGTACATTATTTAAATAATTTCTACTTCCAAGCCTGGCATTTTGAATATAAAATGATAGATTTAAGTTTTGGTTGGTGTACCAAAGAACCCGTTACAGAGTAGGAAAAGTTGGTCAGCCACTGCATTAGTTTGTCTCTACGTTCTAGTGTTCTTGACCTCCCTCCCTCCCTCTATAAAACCATGGCTCCCTCCTGCATCCTTCCAACCCAGATCGAATCAAAGCTTTCTCCAGCTCCATATTTGCTTAACATATTACCAGCTTTTTCAGTTCAAATGGCAGCCAGAGGAATGGGGATTGCTCTGGTTCTAATACCAGCCCTTGTAGCCATGCTCTTGGGAGGGGCAGCGGCCCAGTCGTCAAGCTGCACAAGTGTGATTGTCAGCATGTCACCGTGCCTGAACTATATCACAGGCAACTCATCAACCCCATCTTCCTCCTGCTGCTCTCAGCTCGCCAGCGTTGTCAAATCTACACCAAGGTGCCTGTGCGAGGTCCTCAATGGTGGTGCTTCATCACTGGGGATCCAAATCAACCAAACTAGGGCCCTAGCACTCCCTAATTCTTGCAGTGTTCAGACTCCGCCTGTCAGCCAATGCAACAGTAAGTACTGCTTGGGGTTCATTTTGCCCATGTAACCTAAACTGTTAAATACAGTTCTCTTGCCAGTTGGCAAACCTCTCATCTTATTTCTTTTGCAAACGGCAGCCGTTTCCCCAACAGCATCTCCAGCGGGGACCCCAGACACCAAGACCACCCCAGCAACCCCAGACGCAAAGCCAGAGTCCAAGGCTACACCAGCAGTGCCAAGCGTTCCTTCAGGTATGCTAAAAGTACTATATACTCGTCTCATTTCAGAAGTTGATGGTTTCTGGCTTTCCCATATATTATTAGAACTTAATGTGCGAATGTGAACATGGTGCAGGAGCCGGATCTAAGACTGTTCCATCAACAAATGGGAACACGTCAGATGGAAGTTCTACCAAACTCACCTTCTCTCTGCTCTTCGTTCTTCTCTTCTCTGCATCATATGTTTCAACCTTCAACAGCTTTTGAGCTCTCAGTGGAAATTCTTCCAGCTTTGTATTCATTCTTAAATTTGTTTCTTTTGTTATGTTATGTATTCCTGTTTCATAAGTGGTTAATTTGGAGACCAGTGTGGGGAATGATTGCTTCAGTTTAATTTCAACAAAGATAATCTATTGATTGTTTGTACATAAAGATTGGGAGTTCACATCTGGAAGACTGGAACTGGGAGTACCAATTAACTACTTTTGGCACTTAAACAATTAATTACTCTGTAGGATTTGTACGGGCAGTTATTAATTTAGAGAACTTCTCTAATATTTTATATAATTAATATTAAGAGTCGCTGATACTGAATCTTAGTATGGTTTTGTCTTCAGATGAAATATTTAATGGAAAAGTTGCTCCTCGTTAGATTTGAGGTGAATCAAAAGCTTCAAATACGTGAAGAGACATGGACCACATGGTTGGTGCCTTAAAAGCCCCATGGGGTTCTCTTTATCTCTGTTTGATAAGCAAGATTCAGACCAAAAGCCCCTAACCCCCATACCATAATCCACGTGGCAAAACTAATAGCAGCACTCAGACTTCACTCTGCTCTTTTAACTCAACTCTTTAAGCATAGATGAAGCCCGAATTCAGAAACACAGCCTGAACCCCAAAACATATATACATATATATATATATATAAATATTAAAAAATGGTTAGTAAGAGGGTGGACCTTGACGCATTGGTTGGGTTGCTCCATTGTAACCAGACTAGCATTGAAATTTTGGAAACAGCTCTCTGTATGTACAGGGGTAAGGTTGGGTACATATGTCCCTCCCCAGACCCCACATTGGTGAGGGTGCACTGGGTTGCCGAATATAAATGAACCTAATTTAAAGTAAATAAAGCCCACTTCGTTCTGGCTCATTCCAAGCAAGCTGAAATTGATGACCCATTTGTGAGGGCTGAAGCTTTTGATTTAGTTGCTTTGACTAAGCTGCTTTGAAAAATGCTACTAAAAAATATTTAATAGAAATCCATTTTTTTTTGCTCAAACGCAGTAAATTTGGGCTTTTTTGGATTTTAATGACCAAACATTGCTTATGGGTGGTTTATTTTTTTTAAATATTGCTAAATAAACAAATTTGGGGATTCAACTCCTAGGGGGAACCCATCACCATTAGGGATCGGAGATAGAGAAAAAATTTTATCCCTAATGGGGTTGGGGTTGATGACAGGGATTTATATCAGAATCGATCGGAGTCAAGGACAGGAAATATGATTCCCACCCCGAACCTGCCCCTACTTTTGAAAGAATACAAATACAAATATGTACCAAGGTTTTAAAAACTGGATTAGACATGGAACTGTTTTGGTCACCAGTTTTCAGTTCGAATGAATGGTTCATTCTAATTTAAAAAAATAAAAAATATATAAAATATAATAATGGCAAAAAACCACTATCTGGGTCAATGGTTCAACCACCTGAGTCAACGGGTCACTAACCAAATCAACGATTTTTAGCCCAAGAGTGGTTTTAGGGTGAAATGGAGTCGGTTACCTAACTAATTCCCAGGTCAATCAGTTCGACCATCCTATCTAGTCCAGTATTCAAAACCATGATGTGTACAGTACAAATACATACAAAATACAAGGATATGCAATCTACATTTTTGTATTTGTACTCCTTCCTAATTGAGCCAAAGCTGAACACTGATCCTGTAGTTAGGCCCGTTAGACAGAAGAAACGCAACCTAGTCCCGGAACGGTGGAAAGCAGTCGACGAGGAGGTCGAGAAGCTCCTCGCAGCGAACTTCATAAGAGAAGTCAACTACCCGAGCTGGGTAGCCAACCCCGTCCTGGTAAAGAAGGCCAACGGCAAGTGGCGCATGTGCGTCGACTACACCGACTTGAACCGGACTTGCCCGAAAGACTGCTTCCCGCTCCCTAGAATCGACCGTCTGGTGGACGCGACCTCAGGGCATGAGTTGCTAAGTTTCTTGAACGCCTATTCGGGCTATAACCAAATCAAGATGGACCCGGTGGATGAAGAAAAGACTGCCTTCATCACTGAATTTGGCCTGTACTGTTACAAGGTTATGCCATTCGGTTTGAAAAACGCAGGGGCAACCTTTCAAAGGCTCGTAAATACCCAATTCTCACATGAATTAATACAAGACTTGCATGTTGTTTTTGAAATTTTGCGTAAGTTTAATATGAGATTGAATCCAAACAAGTGTGTGTTCGGTGTAACATCGGGTAAATTCCTAGGATACATCGTTAACCGGCGCGGCATTGAAGCCAACCTGGATAAGGTTAAGGCCATCTTAGACATGAGACCACCCCGTAAGTTGAAGGAGCTTCAGAGGTTGAATGGCCACATATCCGCCCTGAGCCGCTTCATGTCTAAATCGGCGGACCGCTGTTTGCCGTTCTTTAAAGCAATCAAGAGCAAAGGGTTCAAGTGGACCCAAGAATGTTAGCTCGCGTTTGATGAGCTCAAGAAATACCTCGCTAGTGTGCCGATCTTAACCCGGCCCGAGGAGGGCGACGTTTTAGAAATGTACCTCTCGGCGAGCGACAAAGTGGTCAGTTCGGTACTAATAAAGGAAGTAGATCGGGTCCAACGACCCATCTATTATGTTAGTAAAGTATTGCAGGGAGCAGAGACGAGATACACGGAGATAGAAAAGCTAGCGTACGCACTGATAATTGCAGCTCAAAAGCTCTACCTGTACTTCCATGCTCACACTGTTATCATTCTCACTGACAAACCTTTGAGGCAAGTCTTACTTAAGCCTGAGGTCTCTGGTTGGTTGACGAAGTAGGCCATTGAGCTCAGCGAGTACGATCTCTAGTACAAGCCGCAAACTGCCATTAAGGCTCAAGCCTTGGCAGATTTCATCACCGAGTGCACATTCGGCTCTGAAGCCCCCAGGCCGGTTGAGCACGAGGCTCCCAATTCAGGTGAGCCCGAAGCTCCCAGGTCGGTCGAGTCCAAGCCCCGTGAGGTAGTAACTAGTGTGGCATCTCTCCTAGTTCGGCCAAGMCCGAGCTGGGATGAGGAGCCCTGGATCCTTCACGTAGATGGCTCCTCAAACTAGCAGGGCAGCGGAGCCAAAATAGTTCTGCACGACCCAAGTGGCACGAAACTAGAGTACGCGCTACGCTTCAAGTTCGCGGCATCTAACAATGAAGCGGAGTACGAGGCGTTGATAGCTGGACTAGCTCTAGCCAGAGAAGTAAAAGTCAAGCACACCGTTATCTGCAGCGACTCCCAACTTGCGGTCAACCAGGTCATCGGCGAGTACGAAGCTCGCGAGCCAACCATGATCGCCTACTTAGCCAAAGTCAGAGAGGCCCTGCTCAACTTCTAGTTACACTTTATCAGACAAATCCCTAGGTCAGAGAACGCCGAGGCTGACGCCCTGTCCAGGTTAGCCAGCACCAGTGACATCACCATGAGAACCGTGTACATAGAGGACCTGTCTCGGCCTAGCATTCTCAGAGGGGGAGAGG